AATGGTTAAATATTTGTTATGAACGTAGTGATAGAGAAAATAGAACTACTGAAATACCTAAAGAAGTGTGTTCATTAGGATTTGGATGTTTTGAACAAACGTTATTAGAACAACTGGTTATTCCAAATACAATTAAAAAGATTCAATCATATTGTTTTTATTCAAATAGATTTCTTACTTCAATACAACTTTCAACAAATTTAACTATATTACAAAATGATTGTTTTAAAGGATGTATTGCTCTTAAATCAATTATTCTTCCTTTAAAACTTCAAATTATTGAAAAAGGATGTTTTTCTTATTGTACCTCATTAACTTCAATAAAAATTCCTTCCCAAGTTTATTTCTTAGGTGATGACTGTTTTTCATTTTGTTCATCATTAAAAGAAGTGATACTTCCAAATACATTAACTTATATTCCAATAAATTGTTTTAATGAATGTATTTCTTTAAAAAAAATAGATCTTCCAATGTCAATTCAAAAACTAAATGATAGGTCATTTAGAAAATGTTTTAATTTAATAACAATTCAACTTCCATTTACTATTAATACAATAAAAAGTAGTTGTTTTGAATCATGTACTAATTTATTAAAAATAGACCTTCCATCATGTTTAACATATTTAGATGTTTATTCATTTTTTAATTGTATGTCTCTTCATTCAATTCATTTTAACACAACTTCATTAAAGTCTATTAAAAACTCAACTTTCTCTAATTGTTCTTCACTTCATTCTATTGATCTTCCAAACGGAATTATTGAATTAGAGGAAAATTCTTTTGAAAATTGTTGTAAATTATCATCAATTCATTTCCCTTCTTCATTAACTCATATTCAATCAAATTGCTTTCTTCAATGTACTTCTCTTAACCAGCATTCATTTCCCGTAACAATTCAATTAGACGATTGTGTGTTTGGTATCTAACCTTTTATTTCTAACAAAACAATAGTTCATTTCTTGCTTTTACCTCTACTTGGCTCTAATGACCTTTTTGGTTGATAGTCAATAAGTTTATCAAGTGTAAATCCATTTTGCTCATCAGTTTCAATTCCAAGAGTTTCATATAATTTACTGATTTTCATTCCTGATGACTCAGTAAGTAATTCTGATGCGTCTTTACATATTCTTTTTCTTTTTTTCCATTCTTTAACAAAAAACTCATTATCTTTTAATAACTTTGCTTTTTCTTTAGGGTCAATAGTTATTTTTTGATCCTTAAATTTCTTGTACTTCTCTTCTAACTTACTAACTTCTTCTGAAAGTTGTTTTAGTTGTTTTTCTAACTCTTCATTTGATAATTGCGATGAAAGTATTTTGTTTGTTTTTTCTTCTACCATTAATTCTTCTTTAGTTGTGGAAAGAGTAACCTTTAGTTCTTGCCTTTTATTTTCTAATTCTCTTATAACTTCTGGTGTAATGTCAGTTAACTTTGATTGGTTATACCAATAAATCTTTTGTTTTCCATTAACTTTTTCAATAAGATCCCCTTTTTGACTTAATTCTTCTAATATCCTTGTAACTTCAGCTAGTTTTACATCTCCATGCAAATTTTCAGATACTATTTTAGCGTTATAAGGTCGGTTTTGTTTTTGCATATATTCCAAAACAACTTTCTCACCATCTACTTCCTTTTTACCATCCTTTCTTTTTGACATGATAATTAAAAATATTTTAGATGAAGATTGGCTCTTTTCCGTTCGTTTTTGTCTTTTCGGAATTCCTCAAAAAAAAGATTTAATAAGAGATAATTAAAACAAATAAAATTATTCTTTGTTATCCCATATTAAGGGTATTTCCCGACCCTCTTGGATGAGCGTCTTTAAATTCATCCCACTCACGTTTTTCTTTTAACTTTTCATCATCATCATTTGAGTCATCATCTGCAGATGTATGGTCAGGTTCTTCAATAGGGTCTAGCATCTCATCTCTTTTTTCTGCTTCCCAGTCTTCATCAGTCATCATTCTACCATATTTGAACCTTGGATTAAATACATTTTTCATTATTTCAAGTTTCTCAGGTTTATACGTAAATTCTTTAACAACACCATTATCATTATTGGATTGTGCTGTAAAATACTCTTGATTTTGGGCTGCAAAAGTTTGTAATTGTTGTAAGTCTTGAACAGTTGGTTGTTTAGGAATAGTAAAAGTTTTAAATCCACCTCTTCTTTTCTCTGCTTCTTGGTCTTCTTTTTCTTTTCTTTTTTCAAACTCACCGTTAGCTTTCAATTTATTAATTTCTTTTAACATTGTAACTTCTCTTTTTTGATAACCAAAATTATCAATTGAATTAAGAATACATACTCTCAATAATGCTTTCCAATATTCTCTTTCATCTTCTTCATCTAATCCATCTCTTTCTTGTTTCTTTTTGATTTCTATATTTTTTAATACATTTTTGGCTTGTTGACTTTCTTTAAATCGTTCAATTCTAGTATTTCTAGCTTGTTCTGGTGTTTCACTAATACCATTAACCATATCAGTGATGTATTGTTTATTAATAAATCTTAGTCGTGCCATTTCATTAAGAAAAGAAATATAATGGGATTGAGATAATTCTAATGCCTGTACACGATTATCTCGTAATTTTCCATATAACTCTGCAACACTATAATCAATCATTAAATATCCAAGAGAGGATGTAGCAATATCATCATATTCTTCATTTTTACTTATTGCATATGTTTTTTCCTTTTTAATTCTATATTGTTCTAATTCTTTTAATGCATTGAATACTTCTTCATCATTTTTGACATTATCAAATGATTGTAAAAGGCTCATAGATAATACGTCTTTTTCATTTACTTTATCCATATAACCACTTAAATGAAATAATAAGTTCAAAATTTTTGGATTTTTCTTTGTCAGATGTCCTTTATTGGTATCTTTTCATCATTTTTCAGAATCTCTGCTATATAAAACATTTTTGAATTATAACTAATCACCCAAAATATAAACTTATAAACCTAATAAAAACCCTCAGAATCTTCGCCACGTTGCGATGATTTGCACTCTACTTAAATAGAACTAATACAGAAAAAAATAGTATCTTAATTTTTATGTCTCTTTCTGCTCTCCACAAATATAGACTTCAATATAAACCTGTTTTACCAAAACACATTGCTGATATAGATAATATTACTATTGAAGAAGGTGCTAAAACTCAATCTGCTGTTAACCAAAAAGAACTTTCAGAATTATTTAAACATACTTATGGACTTCCAATTTGTAAGATTGTTGCAGGTAAAAATGCTGATATTCATAGAGTTATTAGATGTGGTTTTATTCTTTCAGGTGGACCTGCTGCAGGAGGACATAATGTAGTTGCTGGTCTTTTTGATGGTTTAATGAAAGGAAATAAAGAAAATAAACTTTATGGTTTCAGATGTGGTGCTGGAGGAATTCTTTCAAATGATTATATTGAAATTACTGCAGAACTTGTTGACAAACATCGTAATACAGGTGGATTTGATCTTGTTGGTTCTGGAAGAACAAAGATTGAAACTGAAGAACAATTTGCTACTGCTTTTAAACATATTACAGCATTAAAACTTAATGCTATGGTTGTAGTTGGTGGTGATGATTCTAATACTAATGCTGCTCTTCTTGCTGAATACTTTGCTGCACATGGTTCAGATTGTGTCTTTGTTGGAGTACCAAAAACTATTGATGGTGATCTTAAGAATCAATATATTGAAACATCATTTGGATTTGATACTGCTTGTAAAACATATTCTGAGCTTATTGGAAATATTCAAAGAGATGCTATTTCATCAAGAAAATATTGGCACTTTATTAAGGTAATGGGAAGATCTGCTTCTCATATTGCTCTTGAAGCTGCTCTTGAAACACAACCAACATATTGTATTATTTCAGAAGAAGTTGAAGATAAAAAGATGACAGTTAGTCAAATTGCTTCAGAAATTGCAGACATTGTTGTTGAAAGACATAAGAAAGGATTAAACTTTGGTGTAGTATTAATTCCAGAAGGACTTGTTGAATTTATTCCAGAAGTTAAAGCACTTATTAAAGAACTTAATAATCTTCTTGCACACAAGAAAGAAGAATACTCTAAAATCACTGAATTCTCAGCTCAAAAAGCTTTTGTTTGTGAGAATATTTCTGAAAGTTGTGCTGCTACTTTCAAGAACCTTCCAGATAATATTGCTAAACAACTTCTTCTTGATAGAGATCCACATGGAAATGTAAATGTTTCAGCTATTGAAACTGAATCATTTGTATCAGGAATTGTTAAAGCTGAAATTGTTAAGAGAGGTATTAAAGTTCCATTTACTCCAGTTCATCACTTCTTTGGATATGAAGGAAGATGTGCATTCCCAAGTAATTTTGATTCTACTTATTGTTATGCACTTGGATATACTGCATTTATTTTACTTGCTCTTAAGAAAACAGGACAAATTTGCTGTATTTCAGGACTTCAAAAACCAGCTGAAGAATGGATTTGTGGAGGTGTTCCATTAACTATTATGATGAATATGGAACAAAGAAATGGTGAAATGAAACCAGTTATTAAGAAAGCTCTTGTTGAAATTGAAGGAAAGCCATTTAAATTCTATCAATCCAAAAGAGCTCAATGGGCATCAGCTGAAGACTTTGTATTCCCAGGTGCTATTCAATACTTTGGTCCATCTGAAGTATGTGATCAACCAACTAAGACTCTTCTCCTTGAACAAAATTAATTTAGACTTCTTTTTGTTTTAATTATTTTTTGTTAAATAAATATATTAAAATAATTAAATTATTTAATTAAAATATTGATTGTTGGGATGAAGTTATTGATTGGTTTGTTGAAACTGGTGGGTTTTGTGTAAAAATTTGTGGTTGTTGACTTTGTCTTGAGTTGGTTTCATGGGGAAGGTCATCAACGTCAAGTGTTAATTGTACAGGATTGATTTTAATACTAAACATCAAATTTCTTTTATAAGTTCTTCTTCCTATAAAAAAGATAATCAGAAAGAAAATAACAAAAGTTAATTATTAATTTACTATTAATTGTTCAATCATTCTTGAAACTAATATAGATGCATTATGTGATGCTCTTGATAAATAATCCATCATCTTTTCATGACTCTTACCATCTTCTGAAGGGACATCTGATAATGAACGAATTACTATAAAACGAATTCCTAATTTTGTACATGAATGAGCAACAGCACATCCTTCCATTTCAGCACAAACAATTCTATTATCAAATTTGTTTTGAATCGATTGTACCATTGGAGCTGAAACAAAAGCATCGCTTGTTCCTATAGTTCCATAGTGAATTGTTGGTAAGTCTGATGATGAACACTTAGTTGCAAGAGAAACAAGTTCTTTATCACTAAACCAACTCTTTGGCTCACCTAAGAGCTCACCGTAAGCAAATCCCAGTGGAGTGATATCAACGTCAGTATAAACTAACTCTGTACCAATAACAATATCAAGTGGTTTTTGTCCTAATTTCATTCCACCTGCACTCCCTAAATTAATAATAATGTCAACATTAAACAGGTGCTTTATAGTAGAAACTGATAATGCTGCATTAACCTTACCAACTCCACATTGCATAATAATTATTTCATTATACTTAATTTTTATATAATGGTAATGAATTCCACACTTTTCTAACATAGTTGATTGTGGGTATTTATCACAGATGGCTTGTAATTCTTCTTTCATAGGAGCTAAAATTCCAATGATCATGAATTAATCCCTTTTTATTATACTATTTTAAGTTTTTATTTTATTATTTTCAAAATTGTTGGAATATAAAAATATATCAATAAAATAAACCATTTATCTTTATATTAAGGTTATTTGAATATTTATTTTGTTCTAACTGAGTTTAATTAAAAGGATTATTCGTATTTATATAAGAAGATTTGAAACAACATTTTTCCATAGTTTATCAGTATCTGTCAGTGTAAAATTAACTATTTTGACAAGACTTTTATATTGAAAATATTAAGACTGTATTTTTCAAATAGATATTGATTATTCTAGCTATTATGTTTTTTTTTCAAAACATTCATAGTTGTTGTACTTTATTGATTTAATTAAAAGAAAGACTTATCAATGAATAGAAGAGAAAAGAAACTTAACAACTGTAGACATTCAAAAATTGAATCAGTATGAATTTATTCAACAATTCTTGAGGGAATTATCTTAGAATATTAATGGTATTGTAATAACGAGTTTCAAATATAAATGAATAAAAGAATAATAAGTTGAACTATTAGTACGTATGAATATGTTATTGTTACTTTTTAACTAAATAGTTTTAATACATTTTTGTATTGGTTTAAAAAAAAGAAAGACAAAATTAATAGTAAATACTCGTTATTTGTTAATAATTTTATATCTTTTTAAAGGTCAGAAATTGAATCTTCTTGGAATGCTTCATTAATGATTCTAAGTCTTCTCTGATGAATTTGTTTTCGGATTAAAATGACAATGATAATAGAAGAGATAATACAAAACGCAATCACAAAAATTCCAGAAAGTATGCCAATAATAATTTTACTTAATGGGGATGTGTCATTAACATTATTCTTTGATGGAATTTGTGTTACAACTGGATAAACTGTTCCTGGTTGACTTACTTGATTGCATACTTTCTTTGTATTTGGGTTATTTAAATAATCAGGAGTAGTCATTGAGTCTAAAACAACAAGTTCATCATCTTCATTTACTCCAGTTCTTACAAATACTAAGTCAATTTGTTGGTCAGGATCTAATTGTTGTGAGCAATAATCATTAACTTCTACACAAACAGTGAAATCATCAGTAATATATTCTTGATTTCCAATAGTAAGACCATCTCCCACAAGAAAAGCACTTCCATCATCATCACTTGCTCCAAGATCAATAGAAGGTAAATCAATTGAATCACCTTTTTTTGAGGTAAATCTTCTATGAGCATTAAACTTAAGTCTTGGAGGTAAATTGTTTTTTCTTCTTTTTCTTTTGGTTACTGACTTATCTACAGGGAAAATAATATTATCTTGATTTGGATCGTCATTTTGTGAATTTAATATATTTTGAACCTTAAAATTAAGAATCGTAACGTTTAATGTGTCTGGTGTTGAAACAACATTATCTGATGTTGTTGAATCAGATGTAACTGAAGAGACAGTTACTTCTTCACCAGAATCTGAAAGAACTTCTTTTGATTCAACACTCGTAGTAGCAGTAGTACTAGAGAACATTGTTTTAGCACATTCACTAGTTATACCTTTTTCTTCACAGTTGATGAGATATTCAAATTTTGAATAAATGCAATCTCCATAGCCTGTAGCATTTAATTCACCATTAAAGTATAATTTCCTACATTGATATTCATTAATAAAATCATATTTCTTTTGAAGTGCTAACTTATATAATGTTGATGAATAAACATCACTACCTTGAATTTGGCATGTAACAGTCTCTAATTCTCTTTCATTACAACTTGAAGTTCCACAACAATTAGGTGTTTCTTCATCTATTCCAGTTAATGTTGATAATGAGTATTGATAAGTTGTTTCAGAACAGACACCTGGATAACTAACGAATTCTTTAGTAATAGAAGAAGGGATACAAATATTTGAAACAAGAGTATCGTATTTATTAGTAAGAAGACTCCAATATTGAGCGACAATTCTTTGAACTAAATATTTATTTGAAATAGTGTTAATATTAATTAAACTAGCATATTGGTCAAATGATAAATTTTTCCAAAAAGAAGAATCAGAAAGTTGGTCTTGTTCTAAGACAATATTAATTTTATATTTCTGAGCATTAATTTTATAAGTAATACTAGTTCCTTTTAATTTTAATATTTTGTTATTATTAACTATACTAGCAATTTGTTTATGTTTTCCATTAACTGTTGTTGTCCAATTGATCATGAAATAAATATACATTCCATTAATTGATTTTGTTTCAATTTTTTTCATTCCATATGCTGTTTGAAGAGCATTTTGATATGTCTTTCCTTCTTTATTTATTTTTAACAATCCTTGTGAATATAAACTTGCTAATGGAATAGACATAGTTTTTCCAATATTTAATTGAAAATCAAATTCTGCTAATGATTGTTCATTTAAATTAACATCATTGTTAGTGTCAATAAAAACTTCTTTAATACAGTCATTTGGATATAATTGTGTTAATGCAATAGTTGATGGATGATACACTAATGCAGGGACATTATAAACTATTTCTATTGGTTCGACACTACAACTAGAATTGGGTGGGTCAGGGCTTTTAAATGAAAGTAATTGATAGTCAATATCAAACGACCTAATTCCAGAATATGTAAGTGCATAATGATCAACAGCAGCTATAACAGTTTCACCAATTTCATATTCTCTGGTAAATAATTGGAACTTGCCTTGATAACTATATGCCTTTTTCCCTGAAAAAGCAATAAAAATTGGGTCATCATTATTCATACTTACAACAGCTGAAATTGGTTCTTCACTAAATCCTGTTGAAAATGAAATTGGATTAATTCCTGTAACTGTCAATGAATCTTTAGACACACATTCCATTCCATCTTTTCTTGTTGATAGTGGTGGTGTATTTTGTGTAGTACAATATCCATTTCCTTTACTAATTATTGTATTAGCCGATGACATTAAGTTATCAACAACATATGAAACAACTGATGAATCAGTTTGAGTATAAATTATACAAAAAGAATCACTATCACAATTTATGTATCTAAACTTTTGTGCACCAGTCAGTGAAAAGGATGTTGATTTTTTAAAGTCATTGAGTTTGAGTACATTGTCTGTAAATGTAAAACTAAAAGTGTAGAAATAAATAACATGTGATTCTTGAGTAGCTAAAACAAAATGGGTATCAACATTACGTAAAAAAAGTGGTGTTCCAGAAATTGATTGAGTTTCAGTTGAAATAGTTTTAGGGCATGAGTATTGAATGTAATAAAATTTATAATCATTTAAATTAAACAATAATAATGATCCTTTATCAACAGAAGTAATTAAAAATTTAGATGTACGAGAATCAACAAAGTCATATTTTTGTTCATTAGAAAAAGCCCATATATTGGTTAAATTTTGTGCAAGATAATAAGAAGATTGCTCTGAAGTAACTTTTTCCATTGAACCAAATTCATTTAATTGAAATAACCTAGCGTTAACAAATGACAATAAAAAGTATAGAGTGATGAGCATAATCATATGGTAATTTCAAGTTGAGATTATTTAAAATGGTATTATTACTTTTAGTAAATAAAAAAACTCCTAATTTAGCATATTTTTTTTAATAGAATTAAAGAAGTAGTTTATTGACTTTTGTTCTAAATTAAGTTAATATTATTTTTTTTCTATAATTTTATTATTATTACAATTTCTTTATATTTATAAAGTTAAATTTAATTTTAATAATTACAACCTAAAAAAAGTTACACTAAACTTAGTATTTCAACAGTTTTATAACTTTTGTCATTTTAAATATAAAATAACTTCTCCAATAGGAATTACAGCAAATCCTTTTTTAAAAGAATAAAATTTATATATAAGATAAAGACACATACCTCCTACATTGAATAAAGAATATTTTGATAATAGATAATTTGAGGAGATGTTTGATTAAGTTTATTCTAATTTATATGGTTGGAAAAATAGTTTCATGATAAAATATATTAATAGGATTTTTATTCAAAAAATAGTAAAGTATTTTATCAAATTTAATCTTTTATAGTTTTTTATAGTTTTATTTGTTTATAAATATTTATTTTTTTATTGAATTACAAACGTTATTGATAGTTTATTGATAGAGTTAAAGTATATTCCTATATATTTATAGAACACCATCAAATCGGTTATTAATTTAAAAGTAAATTCTTTCAAATTTTGTATTAAAATAGATTTTTCCTTTCTTAGTATTTTTTTCTCAATTTTTCTCCTTCTTCTTTATTATTGCTTATTTATACCTTTTTATTCATAACCTTTTTCTGGTTGTATTAATTCATTTAATTTTATTATTTTACTTAATGTTAATTTTTTTGTTATTTGTTTAGACTAGAGTCTGAAGAAAGAAATGATAAAATAAGTAAATCACTAACAACACCTTTGGTGCGTTGTTTATATTCCAAGTTGTTATGATAATTTTCTACATATAGATATTTTTATTTTATATTTCTTTGTTGAACTCATTAAACTTTTTTAGTTATTGTTGTGTTTAACTTCTTGTAGTAGTTTTATTATTAGAGTTGATTACTTGAGACTTTTGATAATTTCAGAACTTTCAATTCTTTATCTAATGAAATAAATTCAATGTTTTGTTAACACTGGGGTATTTAATTTAACAAACGTTCTTTTTCTATTACACCATCATTAGAATAGTCCTTCATTTTCTAAGTTGTTTAAAGACATTAAAAGATGAAACTTTATTATTGCTTTATAAATATAATTAATAATAAAACCTTTAAAATATTAATACAACTTTTCTTTTACATACTTCATTGTTATTACAGTTCATTTTCCATTATTTTTGTAATTTTTGTTAATATATTTTATTGTAAAATAGTACCAATCTTTTATGTTACTGTTATTTCTGATTCCATGAAATAATAGCACTTGATGTAATATTAAATTTATTTATAGTGTTAATAATAGACTGTATATCTAACTATAATCAAGACAATAAAACAATAATAATAGTCATTAATTAATAAACTACAATTTTGGCTGTTATTTTTAACCGTTTATTGGCAACAGTTGATTTAATATTGAAAAATATAATAAATAATAAATAAACGCACTCAATTAATTTAATTCATATATTAATTCAAATTTCTCTAAATATGAATTAAATAGCAGTTATAATTAAATTTTGGTATTTAACATGTATTATATAAATTCATTTTACTTTTATCATCTCAATTGAGTCTGTATTAATTAATCCACTTATTGTAATTATAATTAGTATAGTTAATGCTATGTTCATTCTTTCAATTTTTCTGATATATTCCATCAGTTAGAATATATATTTACATTCTGTATGAATGTAATATTGATATTCTTATCTCAATCTATTGTCATAACAATTATAATTGCCCTTTCTTCTTCAGGTCTCTCACATAACTATCGGGTTTTATGTGAATTTTATCTTCTTGTTTCCTTACAACTTTTTGACTCATTACAATGATGATGTTTCTTTTCTATATTCTTTTTTGATTCTTTCATTCCACTAACACCATCTTATTCTTTTCCTCCATACTTCTTTTATAATGTTTCATCACATATAATACATATTTGATCTTCAATTCTC